AAGCAAGCCCACACCAGCCCGCCGCCTCTCACCGCGGGCAACTCCAGAGTAGTAGAGAGTCCAGCCTTTCTTGAGGAGTAAGGTTTTGGAGCCCAAGCTGTGCGTGGAGGTGAGCCCGACTATCTCTAGCCGGTACCTCTCAACCTCCCGCACAAGCTCAGGCTCCTTTCCCACCAGCAAGGTGACATTCCATGTCCCCAGAGCTAGTCTCCGTGTCCAGAGATTGGGTCATCGGGGCCCTTGCCTTCAACCACTGCCTGATCCACTGTGCACCAGCCCCTTACGACTCCTCCTGCAGGTGGTGGGCCCAAGGGAGGACATCCCCACATCGCTCATTCAGGCTAAGCCCAGCCGGGAAGAGGCCCAGCCACCAGGTGCTTGCATTTGAGCCAACCCTGGGCCTGGCTCCAGGGTGGGGCCCTGGTTGCACCATACGGGCAACGTCATGGTCCTTGATCTCAATTTTTTCATAAGGGGTTTTGAACTGCTCTTAGTCTGACCCGTTACCTAGGACCTGTTTCCCTTGGGAAACCCTACCAGGGGCATATAGCCCCCGACAACATAGCTCCTAGGATCACTCGGGTACTCAAACCCCTCCACCACAATAAGGTGGCAGTTCAAGGAGGGGCTATACATTTTAATCTTGATTAAATATTTTCAGGCTCTTTTTACTTGTTGTTTCTCTGTCAGTCTGTCTCATATTGTCTAACTATTATCTGAGAGGACAATGAGCATGTTTGAGGTGTGATGAGGGAGGAGTCAGAAAGGACCCTGATTGTTAAACTTCATTACAGGGCGACTGACATGGTCTGTGGGGGGAGGACAGAGTGAGGTACACATCACTTGTTTGGCAGGAAGAGACGTCACAGTGTGGTCTGAGCACAACTGAGGTGAAACTCATGAGGCCTGTAATGTCAGAGCTCTGTGTGAAAGTATTCAAGGAAGCTGAGGAAACTAGTCTGTTTCTGACAAATGAATCTGGCTGCTGTATTTAGACTTTCTGGACAAACACTGTAGCTTTGGAGTAAAGCAGCGTCACCATATGAGTCAAAAGCAACAGTGTGCAACACAGGAAGACTCCAGCCATGACCACAAACATCACAGGACCTGCCAGTGTAACAGAAGAACAACAGTGACCCATTAAAACATATATCTGTCTGATGTGACAGTGTTAAATCTCTCCACTC